ATAAATAAATAATGAAATAATATATATATATATATTATTTCATAAAAAAGACAATAAAAAAGATAATAAAAAAATTGAAAATATTTTCATAAATGATTAAAGAATAAGTATAATATTTAAAATAATAGAATATAAATATTAATATAGATAATAATGTAAAAACGATCTTGATTAGAAAGAATTTTAGAAGTAAGTAAATAATATATTAATTATTAATGATTTATATGCAATAATAGTTTATACATAATATATATATATATCTTATATATTAAATTTTATTACAAAATAATATTATATATAATTATTATATATAAAATAAAATAAAATAAAATAATAAGTTAATTTCATATTTTTTATTTATACTATGTGGCAGCACTTATCAATTACTATAATAAACGCCATCTATTATGAATCTATTGAACATTTAATGCATGCATTACATACATATTCAAATTTTGAGATTTTGTTTCATTTATTGTCTCATATCGTATATATAAGTATATATGTAAATAATCATTGCTTATATAACCATATCTAATATATATAAATTTTAGTATTTATTATACTAATTATCTATTTATCTAATCAAATTTCTTTTAATTTTTTTAATTTGTTTTAATAATACTAGAAAAGAGAGAAATTATATCATATTTATAAATTTATATCTAAATTTTTTGTTGTATAATAATAGTAGTATAAAATTGTATAAAAAAAGCTGCTTCCATATATAAAATTAATATAAAACATTCATTTGTTTAAAATTTAATAATGACAGTCATGTATATGAATGCATACACCACAAAAAGTGAAAAATAGAGAGTATTTTTTTTAATATTCATAATTAGATATAAAAAAAGATTATATAAAATAATTTAAAAAATGAAAAAAAATATATCTAATGCAAAGAAAACCGATAAAAGTATTAGTGAAAAAAAGAAATGTCAGGTAAGTAATAATAGGTTATATGATATACGTATATGTAAAATTATTTTAATATGCTTTGTAAACAAAACTATTTATCATATATATATAAAATTTATTCAATTTATCAAATTATATTCATTATATATAAATATATATATATATATATATATTATAGAAAAAAAAATTAACAGATGATGAAGATAAACATAAACCCACAATTGTTAAAAATAAAAATTTAAAATTTAAAAATAAATCTACAAAAAATAAATTGTCTAAAAAAGTCAAACAAATATATAAGAATAATGAAAATCATAATTCTATTAATTTTTTAAGTTCTGACATAATAAAAGTAATAGATACTAAAAATAAAAGAAAAAGTAAATTAATCAAAAAAGTTCAAAATAAAAAAAAACAGCAAATTAATGATAAAAAACAAAATCAAAAAAATCTTGAGGAAAAAAATAAAATTTCTGACCAAATTGAAAATAAGATTAATAATAATAATAAATTTATAAAAAAGATAAAATCTAAACATACAGAATCTGAAATGAAACAGCGAAATAACAAACCAGCAAAATTAAATTCAATGTTACAAAAAAAACAACTAAATAACAAATTAACAAAACTGAATTTGATATCAAGAAAAAAACAAAAAAGAAAACAAAAACTAAATAATAAAGTAATAAACTTAAGTTCAACATTAAAAAAGAAAGTAAAACAAAATAAGAATAAATTTTCAGATTCTTCAAAAAAAAATAATTCTGAAATATCTCCTAAGCAACATAATTTAGAAAAATTATTTTCTAAAGATAATGAACAAGAAGAACGAAAAAAAAGAAAAGTAAATGAAAAACCACAATCTTTAAGAGATAGAATGATGGCTAAATTAAGAGCTTCTAGATTCAGATATTTGAATGAAACACTTTATAATAATGAAAGTTCAGAATCTAAAAAATATTTCAAAAATGATCCTGATGCATTTAAGGCATATCATGAAGGATATAAACAGCAAATCGAACAATGGCCTTTAAATCCCCTTGATGTTATAATATCTTCGATAAAAAAAATGTTAGTATATACAGTACATATTGTTATAATTATAAATTAATTTTTAATTGTTATATTAATCCATAAATATATATTAATCATGTTATAGACCAAAGCAATATATAATTGCTGATTTTGGATGTGGAGAAGCAAGACTTGCTGCTACAGTTCCTCATAAAGTACATTCTTTTGATTTTATTTCTCTCAATAAAAATGTAACTGCTTGTGATATAGCACATACCCCATTATTAACAAGTGGAGTAAATATTGTTGTATTTTGCCTATCTCTGATGGGAACCAATCTTAAAGACTACATTATAGAAGCAAATAGAGTTCTTAAAAAAGAGTGAGTATAAGTAAAAACAAAAAATAATAATATATTAATATTTAATATAAAGAAAATATATAAAAAAAAAATCATTTTCAGTGGAATTTTAAAAATAGCTGAAGTTGAAAGTCGATTTGAACATATAGAAGATTTTATAAAAGTAATAAATAGTTATGGTTTCAAAAATACTTGGAAAGATTTGTCTCATAACTTATTTTATTTTTTAGATTTTAAAAAAGAAAGAGATATTAGTAATAAAAATAAGTTACCTCTTATAACTTTAAAACCATGTTTATATAAAAAACGTTAGAAATTAAGTAATAATTTAATATTGTAATTTTATATTTTATAAAACAATGCATTTTAATAAATAATTTGTTATTATATATTATATTGTAATACAATATATAATATATATTATATTGTATTTATTATATTTTGTTATATAATAATATATTATAGAAATTGTGCCATGATGTTTTGATATCATACTTTTTTCAAATGAAATCAATTACATTTTGGACATTTAATATATGTGCCTGCTTAAACAATGTGTTATTCTTAGAACACATTGATCTGTTTGACACAATATATAAAAATTTAAAAATAATAATTTATTTTATTTTATACATAATTAACAAAATTTTATAATTAAATTATGTAAAAAAATACATGTTATTTGTATTATATAAATATTGATATATATGAAATATTTGTGTTATATAAATTGAGTAATTTAAATTTGATTATTTTTTTTTTAATTTTAATTTAATAATTTAAAATCCTTTTAAAGTATTCATGTGTATTCCATCTAAAATATCTTCAGTTTCATCCTGTAGATTTTCTATTTTCTCCACTATTAGTAACTGTAAAATATAATTAAATGTAATAAAATTAATATTAATAATATGATACATCATTAATAAATATAATCTATTAAATGATTTACTTTAGCACCCTCAATAATTTGTATTGCAACTTTTTTACTTAAATATGGAATTTTTTCTTGTAACTGTATTGGTTGAGTTTTAGCTATAGTTTGTATTGTTTTAAATCCAGCATTATATAATTGTCGTGCTCTACTCTATAAAATGAAATATTACAATTATAATTTGTTTCAAACTTATTTTTTTATTTTATTTTATTTTATTCTATAAATGAAAAATATTCTTACAATTTTAACTAAAGGTAAATCCATTAATGCTTCTAATTCTAAGGGACAACAGTAAGATAATTTTTTACTGAATACATTTAATAAATCTTTAAATGCCCAAAATTCATCTAATTCCTGAAATAATAATCTAATTAAATTTTATATACTGATTTTATAAATCATACAATATTTTAATAATGTATTTACTAACTTGACAAAATCGAATTACAGAAAATGCAAATGATGATACAGCAGTTAAAAGATTTTGTACAATACCTCTGCTTATATCATATTTTTCTGCTATCTTGTACACTGCATGTTGATTCCACAAATCATACAGTATTAATGTTACATAAAATCTATGAATCACTCTTGGTTCTACATTCTATTATGTATAAAATAACTTAAATATAAAAATAGATTTAATATATATAATTTAAATTTTATATACATACTTTAGGCATTAATCCATCACGTATTTTACTTATGTTTACTTCATTAATTCCTAAAAGTCTAGCTGTTTTCATTTGTGTTTCTGATAATTTAATTATCTAAATTTTATAAGAATATTACAATATTTTTATTAATGATTAAATGATTAAATATTAATCAAATTATAAAATATATTAAATTAAATTATAAATAATTATAAATCAAAAATTACCATATCATAATAAATAAATCCTATTGGTTTTATTTGAGATATTATATTATATGGCGTAACAAGATATAATAAATGTAAATAATCAAGAAGAATTAAATGTTCTTGTGCTTTTTTTAAATCCTGATATAATGTATATGCACATTCCATATCAATACAACCTTCAATATAAAATACATATATTTAAAATAATTTTATATAAAGAAATATTTTATTAATTATTTAATAATAAAATTATTCTTACCTTTCATAGCTGCACGTCCAAGACTACATAATTCTAATTTAGAATTATTGGTAAGTTTTATTATTCGTTTTTTTTTTGTTTCTATAGTTGTAGGACATGAAGATATATCCTGTGATGGAAACATAACACTTATATTTGGTTTTAATATATTAACATTTCTTTCTTTTTCTTTTATTTTTATTACACCACTTTTTAAAAATTCAGTTATCGATTCATCTACAATTTGCTTAATATTTACATTTAAACGTTTTTGTTGAATATTAAGTAATGTCCTTTTTGCTATTTTGTGTAATTCATATCTAGTTGTTGCCATAGAAAATAATATAGCACTTAAAATTAAATTATTTATACCTCTATCTCTATCTATATGTAATGTACTTAAAGAATCATCCATTTTAGATTTTAAAAGTTCTGTTATCTATATAATAAATATTATTAATAATAAATATACTTTCTATTTATATATATATTCTAATTATAATAAATATTATAATAATTATAATAAATAGATATTATTATTATATATACCTTTTGTAATTCATTATTTTTACATATAAGTATACTTTCTCCTATATTTCCCATACCCGCACGACCAGCTCTTCCTACCATTTGTTTATATCTACTTAAATTTAAAAACTGATTGCCAATATACGGACTTCTTAATATTACCTATTATGTATTTATTGTAAATATATTTTTTATAAAAATAAACAATAATTATTACTATTTAAAACGAATAATAAAATATACCCTTCTTGCTGGTAAATTTATTCCAGTTGCTAATGTTGATGTACAACATATTACACAAAGTGTTCCTATTTTAAAAGCATCTTCTAATAATCGTCTTTCCTCAGATGTAAGACCAGAATGATGATAGACTACACCAAAATTTATGGTTTTATGTAAGATAGGACAAAGACCTTCTTCATTTTTAAGTGCATTTAATAAATTTTGTTTTTTATCCCTTTTGTAATCTTGTAATGATCTATAAATAATCATATATAATTGATATGATTTATAATAATATATAAGAACATATACAAAACATAAAAAACATAAAAAAAATTTTTACTTAGGTAAAACTTTAGTTAATAATAGAGCAACATTTTCACAATTTTTACGAGAAGAACAAAATATAAGACATGAATGTTCTGGAATTATATCCATTACTAGACCTGCTATTCGATCAGGATCTATAATTGCTGCATCTTTTGAATACTTTTAAAACAAATGAATAATTATTAAATATTAATAATTATTAATAATTATAAATACAGAAAAAATAGAAAAACATTAACTTACACGATAATTAATTTTTTTTACATCTGTTAACAATTCTTCTGTTTTTAAATCAACTAACCAAATATTTTCATCACATTTCACATATTCTTTAATTTCAATAGGTCGAAAATTTCCAGTATATAAATCTGCATTTAAAAATGTTGCTATTTCTTCTAAATTACCTATTGTTGCACTCATTCCAATAATGTGAATATTATCTAAAATAAAGAATGTATTATAATTAATAATACATATATTAAATATAAATATAATATTAATTTCTATAAATATAATTTCTTTACCATTAACATAAAGTACTTTTGTTAAAAGAACTTCTAATGTAGCACCTCTTCCTCCATTTTCTCCAAGAAGATGTAATTCATCAACAACTATAATACCAATCTAAAATATATTAATATAACTTAATATTTGAGTAAAATTTTAGTAACAGATCTCCTAATTTTTACTCACTTCATGAAGACGTTTTTCTTCTATTAAACTATTTATTAAACCTAATGCTTTCTCTATAGTACATATATATATGCTATTTTTTTTACGACGCTTTTTGGGAGGAAAAGTTCCTTTTGTTGCTGCATATTCTTCAACTAAAAAACCTAACTCAAGTGCAAATGGTGTCATTGCTTGAATCTAAAAATTTTAAAAATATTTCTATACTCCTTTTGATTAATTATTATAATAATTATTATAAATAATGATTAATAAATAAATTTTATTACATTGCATGGTATTAATACTTACTTTTTCTTGTACTATTGCAACAAATGGTAATATAAATATTGCATTTTTTTTATTACATATAAGTTCTTGCAACATTAATATTTCTGCAACCAATGTTTTACCTCCACTAGTAGGAAGGGCATAAATTAAATTTTTTCTATTCTTTATTGCATCTAAATTTAAACAATCATCTTGCCATTCTAAAACAAGATAAATAATTGATATAATTATAATGAATAAAATAAATTTATTAATAATGAACTTTATTTTATCATAAATTAAATACTTACGATATAATGTATTAATGCCTCTAATTTTTAAGAAAAGTTCTTTTATCTTATTTGATAAACCATAAAATGTATCATTGTTTAAACTTGTATTAATATTTATATTTTGTTCTTTTAATTCATTATCTAAACAACATATTTTATTTGGAATAATATTACTATAATTAACTGAATATCTTTTAAGAAATTTCACATCCTGTTGCTTATTCTTTAATAAATGTATTGAATTCATTCCTTCTGTAACATATGTTTCTTCAGAACAATTTTTTGATGTATGAATAACCTATTTTAAAAAAATACAATATGCACATAAATCTTAATACTATATCTATGAATCTTACATTAAATATATTTACAAATATAGAAATATTAAATTATCCAACTACCTGAGTAGAACATTCTAAAACATTTTTTTCATTATATGAATCAAATTGTGAAAACATTTTATCCAAAAATGTATTATCCTGCCAATGAGTATTTATTTCATTCTGAGAAAAATTTAAAGTATTTTGTGTAATTTCTGATGATTTCTTTTCTTTTTTCTCTTCATTATCATCAAAATATTGTGTTTTCCCATTATTTTCATCTGTATTAAATACATCACAAACACTCCATTCATCTATAAAACTATTTAAATTTTTTTGATCTACATTAACATTTATCTCATTTTCATTATCATTTTTAATGTTTTTTAATATTTTATTATCCATTGACAAAATATAATCAATTATTTGTAATAGTTTAAAAACTATTTTATTTATTTTCTTAAATTCATATTTATATTTATATAATTATTATTTAACAATTATAATAAACAATTTGCATTTAAATAAATATTCATAAATAAATATAAAAAATTTATCGTCAATCATATACTTTAATTATCATAAAAAAAAAAGAATAATAAGAATACAAAGTGTCGCTTAGTTAATTAAAAGCAGTGTTGCTAACCTACATAATTCTACTTCATTTTCTGTTTATATATAATGTAAATATATTTTCAAAGTTTCAAAGTTTCAATTAAAAACTTATTTCAATATTATGCTATCACGTGAATTCAGCTTTATTAATATTATAAATCAATTCCTTGAATCTAGTTCCAATCACTATCAATAAATAAAATTATAAACAAACTTTTTAAAATTTATTGAGCGAATAAATTATTTTGTATTTAAATTTTAAGTTAAGTTTAAATTTAATGTTTAAGTGTTTGCTATGCTACAATCAATCAAAGAGAAAATCAAAATCCGATAATTCTCTCAAAGAATTTTTAAAATTAATTTATTACAAATTATTAAATCAGATCAATTTAAAATTTTCGGTTAAGGTACGTATGATATTTGAAAAAAAAATTTCTCATATATTTTTATTTTAAATATATTTTATCTCTTTGCATTCTAAGATCATACATTTTTTTAGGAATTACTTTCCAGTATATTTTTGCACATGTACATCATATTAATCCTATATGACAATTTTTCTTCTGTCTTCACATACTTGACGGAACATTGAAGAAGAAAAATTGCAATACAAAAAAAAATTTGCAATTAACAAGAAATTCTAAAGCAACTTAATAAATAATTGATATTGAGAATCACAGGTGTGAAATCTTTTGTAAATTGGAGCATTTTAAATAAATAAATAAATAAAAATATCGAATAGCAAAAATTCAAAATTTTATTTGAAATTATCTCCTCCTAATTTTGACGGACAGATCAAAAACCTAAGATCAATTTATGTTCTCAATCTTCTAAATTCTTATAAATCTGTAATGTTAATTAGATATATTTCTTTCAGCTTAGAATTTAGAAAATTTGACAAAGGAAATAATAATTTTTGCTAAATTAATAATTTTTTTTATAATCATGATTATATAAAATATAATTTAATAATTTAAATAATTATTAATTTTATTTTATTTAATTATTAATTTTTTTATAAATTCGAAAATGATGAAATAAATAAGTATGGAATAAATATGTAATTTATGGAAAAATATATTTTCAATAAATAAGAAAATATTTATATAATATATTATAACCTAAAAATTAATATATGTGAATGCATTTTCATTTGAACTAAATTCGAATAAAATAACTAAATTATGAGTATAAAAATAAATATTTCAATTAGTTATTAAAAAAACAAAAACAAAAATTCGAAATTCCTTATCATTTTAATTTTAATAATATTAATGATTCAAAATGAATTATATTTTATTTAAAACTGTTAAATAAATGAAAATAACCAAATAAATGAATATTAATAATTATTTATATACATATATATAAGTAATATAAAATTATGTTTAATCTATCAGGTGATCTATTGTGAAAATATAGTTACTTAACCTCATCAAAAATAATAATTTTGTAATAGCAAAAGATAAAAAAAATAAACATGAATGTTCTTGTAAAATCTCTGATATCAATAGTAAGCATAAATAATAATATGTTATTATTAAAACAATAGTTATGTTCTTATTAAATTTTTAAAAATCTTATTAAACATTTAAAGTATTCGTAACACGTAATTCAAGGTTAAACCAGTACCTCTACGACGTATTTCAATAACTTGTATATATTGTAAAGATGATTTTCAAGATGTAATTCATCCAGAAAGCCAAGAACCAAATATACCATTATATGTAAAACGTAATGAAGAAAGTAAAGATATAAAAAAAGCTCGGTAATATATAAAATAAATAAAATGTTATTAAAATTAAAATTTAATATTGTTTTTTTATATTTTATTTTTATATAATATAGATTATTGTATCAATCTCGCAAACGTGGCATGTTAGAAAATGGTCTTCTTTTAAGTACATTTGCTAAAAAATATTTATGTGATTTTGATGATAAACAACTTCAATTATATGATCATCTTATCAATTTGCCAACCAACGATTGGGATATATTTTATTGGGCTACAGGCGCAAAACCAACTCCACCTGAATTTGACAATGAAGTTATGGATTTGTTAAAAAAACATATCAAAAATGAAGACCGTCAAGCAAGAATAATGCAACCTGAGTTATAAGTATATAGAACTTAGTAACTGTACTTAATAGCTTCAATTTTCAATTTAATCTTAAAAAATAAAATTATGATAATATAAAAAATTATTTGAGTTTTTAGGATATTTTTTGTTTATAAACATATAAAAATATAATAGTATTTATATTATAAATATAATATTTACAATTATAGAATTTATAAAAATATATAATTATAATGTTATCTTTTATTTATATATTATATATTAATCAATATTATTAAAAATATTTTTTATTATAAAATTGTGTATATATACATATTTTATTTATCTTATAAAAACATAATACTATTGCATTATTTTATGATGAAATGCCAATTTCAAATTAATATAAATATATTATCTAAGTTACATGGAATACCATGCTGTTATAAATACATATATATTACATATTAAATATCAATCTTATCTATGTATGTTTATTTATATTATTTCTTTGAATTTAAGCTTACTAATCCCGGTCCTTTGTTTAAATTTGTAGTCGTACATTTTGCTTTTGTTGTTGTTTTTCTTTTTTGTGTACTAAAAATAAAATAAGAATTATCAAAAAATAATATATAATATATCATTATATTTAATATGATATTAAACAAAATAAATAAATATATACCCTGATGTTCGTTTAAACTTTTTATTTGTATTACGATAAGTAGTTTTGCCTTTACGTTTTTTACCACGAAATGAGTTAATTTTACCGGAAAATGTAGGAGTATCATTATACCACGTATCGTCATTATCATCATCACTACTCTCTTCCTTTTCTTCACTCAACAATACTGTTAAAAATCATAGTATAAATATATTATGAAATTAATATATATTATTAAAATATATCATATTATATATAATTTATATAATATTAATAAATATAATTTATATAACTTAAATATTTTACTTAAACATTTTATTTACCATATTTTTCTGCAGCATATTTTTGTGTAATATCTAATAAAGCTTTTCCATATTTTTCAAAGTTTGCTTTAGTTACATGTGGAATTTGTAGCATAGCTTCTTCACTATCTGGAAGTATTTGACTCATTGCCCTAATTGCAATCATGTTCATAACCGATGATGCTGAAACATCAAGTGCTCCAGCAATTCCTCTTATTATCTCCATTAATTCTTTGTAACATCGATCTTGTAATTCCACAAGTATTTTATCAATTTTTTTCGTAATTGTAGATACTGTTGCTACAGCAGTAGTACTATTACTAGATTTTATAGGAAGCATTATCTATTTTAAAAAATATTATATTTTAATAATTTATTCTTATAATTCACTTTTAAACTAAATAATAAAATAAATTGAATATATTATTCTACTTTTATATCTTTTTTTGTCATGAATTCCGCGGCATTTGGTCCAATTTTTACATAAGCACAAGCAATTTCATTGTTTATGTACATTTGTTCTTGTAAATATTCCTTAAGCACCATATGATGTAATAAACGGTCAATATCAGCTCTATTCCACGATTTTCCTCGACCATATAAAGGGGACTTATTAAGACCTATAAATATTTAATATTACACAAGGAGATAATATATATATAATATATTGAAATTTAATTTTTATACCCAATTCTCTTATTTTCTTGATATCACTTCCTTTAAATATATCTGTGAGAAGTACTAATGTAAGATTACAATTTCTTGTTTGATTATTTAAATCGCGTACAGCTTTCATAATCTGTTTTGCATCATCTGTTGCATCTAACATAGTAATAGTATCCTAAAAAATTATATACAAAATATTTATATATATAAGATATTTAAATAATTTAATTAATACAAACTTTATTTTTTTAAATAAAAAAAAAACTTACTTTACTTCTACAATTATCGCATGATGTAACTTTGTTAGCAATGCATTGTTCTCGATCAAATATTTCACCAAAATAATTTAATTGTTGTGTTCTGCGACAATCTGTTTTATTTTCACAAAATGATACCATTTTAAATAAATTGTCGATATGAGTTTTTATTATAGTAGGATTTGAGTTATCTAGTTCAATCATTTTTCTAATCCTATGCATATCAGTATAATTATAAAATAAAATACAATCTGCATTTTCTCCATCACGACCAGCGCGTCCACTTTCTTGATAATAACCTTCGATAGATTTTGGTAAAGCTGCATGTATTACAAATCGTACATTTGGTTTATCGATACCCATTCCAAATGCTATTGTTGCACAAACAACTTTGATCTAAAATTTTTTATAATTAAAAAATTATGTAATTACAAAAAAATATTTTTATTACTTATTTTCATACTTCTTCTGAAATCCATCGACCTTGAATATCGCTTCTATTATTATCTGTAAGGCCAGCATGATAACTTAATGCTTTAATGCTATTCTTTCGCATGTGCATTGCATAATCATCACAATCTTTACGAGATAAACAATAAACAATACCACAGTCATTCTTGTATTTTGTTTTTATCATACCTATTACTTCATCTGAACAATTTTTACCTTTTTTTGCGATAATGCTATATCTTAAATTAGGTCTATTAAAGCTTGACATGAACCTAATCAAAATAAAAATATTTTATTATATAAATGGTAAAATTTCGTATGTTAAATATATTTCAAATCAAATTATATACCATTTAGGTGTAGTAATACGTAATTGATGTAATATATCGCTTCTAACTCTTGGTGTAGCTGTTGCAGTTAAAACAATGACTGGCACTTTAGGATAATTTTCTCTGAGACAATTCAATCTTTTATAATCAGGTCGAAAATCATGTCCCCATTGACTAACACAATGTGCTTCATCAATAACGAATCTTGCTAATAATCTTCTATTATATAATGAAGATAAAATATTGCAAAATTTTGGAGATGCAGAAATTTTTTCGGGTGTTACATATAATAATTTAAGAGCTGGATCTTTTTTTGAAAGTTCTCTATATATTCCTAATGCTTGACTATCTGTTATTCCTCCAGACATATGTGTAGCTGGAATCTACAATATTATTAATGAATATATATATAGATAAAATATGATATTTAAAGAACTTACATCAAGAGAAGTGAGTTTTTGAACTTGATCAAGAATAAGACTTTTTAATGGTGAAATTACAATTGTTACTCCAGGCAATAAAAGTGCTGGAAGTTGATAGCATAATGATTTTCCTCCTCCGGTTGGCATTAAAATAAAACAATCAAATCCCAAAATTGCAGCATTAATTGCTTGTAACTGATTTGGTCTAAATGAATATAATCCAAATTTTTGTCGGAAAATCTTAAAAAATATATTTGATATAAAAAAATTTAAACGTTATGTTAAATATTTCATAGAAATATAGATATAAATTTTTAAAATAATATTGAAAAATAAAATATCTTACTTTTAACATTTCTCGTGAATGAGGATATGTTAATCCATCAAATTCACCACTGACACCATCATTTTTATAACTTCCAGTAAAAATACCCATTTGGATATTTAATTTATCTTTCTCTTGTTTTTTTTCATTTGTAGTATTATTAGTACTTTGTGTAGCAGTTTCTTTAAAAAAATAAAAATAAAAAACAATAGAAAACTTACAATAATAAAAAGAACAAAAAAATAAGTTCTTAATTATTATAATTTACCTTTAAAACTTGATTTTATATTACAATCTGTACTTAATGCAGGAAATTGCTCAAGTTCTTGAGTCAAACAATCAACTATATCTTGTGAATATGAATATGAAGTATTATCTATAACAAATAAATAATTATATATATGTATATACATATAATAAAAGTATAAATTTACCATTTATATATGATGCATCCTTTATATTCAAATTATTTTGATTATTTTCATATTTTAATTTTTGAGGAATTTGAACAGTTTTTTTTCTCTCTTCAGAATATATATTTTTTTCATTATTTTCAATTTTTTCTAATTTATCAGAACTAATATTGAAATTAGAAATGATTGTTTTAGTATTAGCTACTTTGGATTGTTCTTCTTTTTTCCATATTTCTCCTATTTGTTTAGAAATTTCAGAAGTCACAGATGCCTTAATAGGTTTTTTCAATTGAAATATACTCTTTTTCGTTTGAACTAGAGAATCATTTGATTCATCTTGAAGAGAAATATGTGAATCTATATCCTCTTTTTTCTTTATGTAAGATTCATTATTTTTTTGTAATGATTGAGCAAAATCTTCTATTGTTGGTGAAATTGTACTTTTCATTTTTATAATATTGGTATAACTTGATCCTACATCTGAACAATTAGTATTAGATGCATTGAAACTATCATTATCAGAAATTACTAACTGTTGATTTGAAAATTGTGATGTTTTAGATAATGGTGAATCATTTATGTATTTATTTGTAATTTCAGATAATTCCTGAACATGTTTTTGATTTTTATCATATTCAATATGTGTTAACTTTGTTTCAACCAGACGTATCTTTGCTTTAACATGTTGATATAAAATTTTTAAATCTTGAAATGTATGTGTATTAAATTGTGGAAATTTTTCTAATACTGGTAATGGTATTTGATCTAATGCAGTATAAAATTTTTCAAGAATTTCTATTTGAAAATTTCTTAAATGTTTATATCTATCTTCCAATTTATCTTTTGTAATCTAAAATTAATAATAATATTTAATAATAATAATGATTAATATTTATTAAAAATAATATTATCAATAAAAAATAAAATCATATTAATATTTACTGGTACTGAAGACATTATTGGTTTCTCTTTTGCAAGTTGTATCCATGAATTTAATTCTTTTCCTAAACCTAAAGACTTCAAATTTAATTTGAAATCTGGTCCTATCCATCTTTTTATTGGATTTTTTTTAGGACTATGTTTAAAACTAGGACTGTTGCTATCTGAATCTGATATTATAATATTTTCTTTTCTTTTGGTTTTTAAGCATTTTTTGGGAGTTCTTGGACTATCATTTTCAATTAAAATTTTTTCTTGTATTTCTACTTCATTATTATTCTTAGATGATTGTAAAGATACATCATTAAGTGATGATTTATTTTTTTCAAATGATATATTTGATATTTGTTCTTCATCACTACTATTAAGAAATTTTTTTCGGTTTAAATTTAAAGTTCGTTTTATTTTATTATCATCTTCACTATCTGATGAATGAATAAATTTAATCTTTGATTTTTGTGTATATCCAAATTTAATAAGTTGTCGTTTTTCA